TTACATGGTGACTGCTGCAGTAGACCCTTGTGTGGCAAGAAGTGTTGGATGGCGCACGATAGAGCAGGGTTCAGATCTTTTCTCCGTGGTGTTGCTGTAAGTCATTCCCAACTCGACAACAACTCAGCAGCATAACCACACTCTTCCCACTTCCTCTTTGTGATTCTCTTTTCCATTTTCCCTTCAGTTCTAACTTGTCCTGTATTCATAGCTTTCTCCCTGGCACATGCTGCCCTTTTGATCTTACATGGCTGATCTAAGGCGTGCGCACCTCCCTGATGTAATTGTTCACCTTATAGATCTGTCTATTGTTTGGATGGAAGTTGAGCCACAGGGGAAAGATAATTAATATTTATAAGGAGCTTAAAACATAATCTGATACAAAACAAACTTCTTAAATAAAAAACCTAAAAATGTAATGAATACATTTCCTCCTTAAGATAGATAATCCATTCTTTCCCCTTTAAACAAGATAGATTCTTTACATATATTCTTATGATGATGGATCTTATGAATAATACATAAAGAAGCTAAGTGCTTAGTAACTACTCTTAGAGTTCTAAGAACAGCCAGTTAAAGGTTCTTCAACATCAAGTGTATTATTATAGGATCCCTCACTCAGTCTCCAAGTCTCAGTGTTCCACAATGGAATGGAAAGTTAATGTCTCAAAGGAGTGCTGATGGAATTTAGTTATTTAGGTTTTTCTTTGAAGATACATTGGATACAACTGGCGTGCTGTCAGTTAAACACTATTTCCTTCTTATTAGTTGTAATAATAAAACTGGCGCTTTGTGAAATCTCAAAAATGGAAAAGGAAAGAACTTCAGAATACTATGGTTACAGCGAATTCACCATAATGTACTTTGATTTTCTACCTTTTAATGTATGTTTATAAAGTTTGCTCAACAAACTGTGGTCTTGAGTGGTATCATCATGGTTATCTCATAAAATCATGGAGAAGTAATGGTTTCTGGTCCTACGGCAATGGTAAAACAGTATGAATATTCACATTTGCTGATGTAATATTTGGACCCACCTACAGACTCTGGTTTTGTTATTGTTGTAGCACATGATAAACTGTTTTATTTGAGGAGAAACATCTTTATTTGTGATCGGGAGGGCCAGTGCATCCACCTCCCTTGGTCCTGTTGGTATTGTCTGCAGATTCTGATATAAACAGCCTGGCCACAGCAATGGGAGACAAATACAGTCAGCGAGATTCTAAATATTTTTATTTAATCAAAATAATGAAACTTAATGACTTTATCAGAAGATAAAAATGGGCTACCCTTGGTTTGAATCTATCTCAGTTTAGTCACTGAATTTATAGTTTTGATAAGGATAACAGAAAGATACCATTTTAGTTATTTAGTACTGCTGTAACAGACGTACCGCAGGTGAGTAGCTTTGGTGAGCAGAGATTTATTTTCTCACCGTTTGGGGTGTTGGTGTCAGAATTCAGGGTGCTGGCTCTAGGGGAAGCTTGCTTTATTGGTTCTGGGAACAGTTTACCGACTTTGAGGATCTTCATGTGATATGACGTCTGTGTCCCTTCGTCTGCTTCTCTCAATTGTTTGCTTATTCTCCTCCAGATCTCAAAAGATATGCTTTAAAATGCACCCAACATGTATCCTGTCTTATTAACATAACGAAGAAAATCCTTTCCCAATGGGATTATTACCACATGCGGAAAGGTTAGGATTTACAGACATATTTTTCAGAGGGTGGGTACAGTTCGGCTCATGACAGATTTTTACCCACGTTTTGTTGACCACACAGAGGCATTCAGTTGACCATAGCAAACTGAATAACATTATACAAGTAATAATTCTAGAACACTTCATTGTTATCAGGGTGTACCTAGATCATGATGGAATAATAGTTCAAACAGAACAAGGATAACTGTGTGGTTTAATAGTGGAAAATATATGCAACAGGTTTTGATTCTTTGACTTCAGTTATTCAATCTATGAGCTGAATAAATGATCCAAGAAGCTAGTTGTTATGAAGATGGTAGCATCAGGATTGGAGCAACATTAACTAACAAACAACCTACTACATACATATAACACAAATTTTCTAGCCAGAAGTGAAGATGACTTGAAAAACTTGTTGATAAAGGTGAAAATCAATCTGATTTAAACCTGAATATATATAAAATTAAAATCTTCACAACTAGGTGTATAGCTATTATCATGATAAACAGAGATGAAATTGAAGTTAACAAGGAATTTTCTTTGTACTTAGATCAACAGTCAAAGCTAGTGAAAGCAACGAACAAGAAGTCAAACGATATAATCATTGAGCAAAGTGCAGTTAACACTTCTTTAAATTCTTTTTTTTAAGAATAGAGATCACTTTGATAATTAAGATGTCCTTAATCTCAAAAGAAAACCCCTAAATTAAAAGATGAATTGCACTGGGAAACTCTACTGTCAGGGACCTCTCCAGAGTACAGAGCAATGATGTCAGTTTAGAGACTAAGATGCACGTGTTCCAGGCCATGGTCTTTGCAGTTACTTGCTATGCATCAGAGAGCTGGACAGTGACTCGGGATGATAGAAGAAGAATCAATGCCTTTGAGCTGTGGTGCTGGAGAAGACTTTGACTATACCATGGACTGCTAAGAGAACAAACAGGTCTGTCCTGGAGAGGGTGCTCCGTGGAGACGAGGATTCTGAAACAAAAATTTTCTCATATGCTTTGGGCTTGTTACAAGGAGATACCAGTCCTTGGAGGGGGAAATCATGCTTGGAAGGATGGAGAGATAGCACAAGAGAGAAAGGCCCTGGATAATATGGATTGACTCAGTGACTAGGGCAATGGGGGTAGGTATGTCAGAGGCAAAGAAATTGGCTCAAGATAGAGCAGGGTTCAGAGATGTTGTACATAGGATCACTGTGAATTGGAGTCTGCTCCACTGCAACGTAACAACAACAAACAAAACAAAAACCTTGTTGCTATCAAGTCTAAACCAATTCACAGTTTACCCTCCAGTAGGTTTTTAGAGGGTGTAAACCATACAGGAGGTAACTGCCTATCTGTATCCAACATAGTAACAGATGGATAAGAACTGTCACCTTTGGGTTGGCAACACAACTTCCTACCCTTTAGGCCACTATAGCCCTTAGCCTGAGTCATATTTTCAATTGCATTATATGTAGTGCAAAAGCTGAATGGTGACAAAGGAAGACCAAAGAAGAATTGACGTATTCAGACTGCGATTTGGCAAAGAATATTGAGTAGACAACAGACTGCCAGAAACACAAATTTGGGAGGAAGGACAGCCAGATTTTTTTTTTTAAGAGTTAGAATGGTGAGCTTTTGTCTTACTTGCTTTGGTCTCATTGTCGTGAAGTTGTATTCATTAGAGAAGAACGTCATACTTGGTAAAGCAGAGTGTCTGTGGAAAAGAGAGATTTGGAATGAGTTGGAGTCACATAGTGACTGTTAACAGTGTGTGCAAACATTATGTCACAGGACTGGACATTGTTCTTTTATACATATTGTTTCTGTAGAAAGAGCAAGGGCTGAGTGGAGATGGCCATATCTGACCTTTACTGACTTCACAAAGGGTACCTGTCCCCGTCAACAGCATCAGCAACGCAAAACAGTTCCCATGAGTTCAGACATGTCCCCCACACTCCCATATCTCTTTTTGCTCATCTCAACGGCATTCTTACTCCAAAATCCAATGTAATAATTGTCAGACCACACAGAACCATACTGGGGAAGTCAAAAGATTATAATCCAGCTTAGTCACAGAATACAGTCACTTAGTCAAGACAGCTTCCAAAATGTGTTTGCAGACACCTCACCCCAACCTTGGGCCTCAAGGCTTTAGGCCAGTGTTACAAAGTTCTCAGTCCTGCAGACAGCTATGGCTCTCCACCTCCCACCCCTACTCCCAAGTCCTCCAGTTGTCCAGCAAACTTGGCAAAAGCCTTTTATGTGGTTCTTTAAGGGATAGCAGTCCCAAAATCAGTTCTGTCTCATGCTGGGTGTCCGGTCCTCTACTTCAGCTGCCATAGCTGTTGCTCTGGTCCTGAAGGACTAGTTCCATTCTCTTTCTTGCTCTTTCTGCTGGTGACGGTCCTTCTTTTATACTGCTGGATCCATTCGATTTAATGGTGAGACAAGCTCATACCCCTTGTGGAATGGTGAGACTAGCCAGTCTCCTTGCGGATAAACTAACATATCCTGTTCACATAGTCCCACGCATCCACATGGCAGAGTCAAATTCATTGGCTAAGAAAGCTATTTTAAACACTGAGCTCTTAATGTCAGTTTCTGTAAGTCAAGAGTTAACTCAGTGGTACCTCACAACAACACATTTTTTTAAAACATTTGTTTGTGGGTTTTCTTTTCTTTTTTAGTAGGTAAAGAAATGAAAAGAAATTTCCATTTTAGAAGGACTTTAGTAGACGTGTTGAGGGAATTCTGTTGGTGTAGGGAGTTGCAGCTCTAACCCAAAGTCATGCCTCACTGCTGGTTCTAACCCACCAGTGACTCTGCAGGAGAAAGGTGGGCAGTCTTCTCCTGTGTTATTAACAACCTTTGAAACTTGCACAAGGGTGAGCTGTGAGTCACTTCAAACTCGGCAGCGATGAGTTTTGAGTTAATAAATGTGTTAGTACATTACAGTAATTTTAGTCTAATATCAAGAGCAATAGGATAGAGTGACGACAAATAGGCGTGTTGCATGATATGTAAAAATGACACACACACACACACACACACACACACACACACACACACACACCCTTCTACCACAGTGTTTTTAATGTACTATCCATTTTAGTGATCACTTACCTAGAATTTAACATAAGTTCTCTTTGAGCTCCCAGCTTGCAGAAGACCTCTCGGCCTACATGTTGTTTATCTAAATATTTGAATCTGTTTTTTAAATTATTTGGACTGTTCGTGATTCCCACGTCCATTCACATTGTTTGTTTCTTCTCTTTCTCACACTGTGGTCTCCTCACGACTGGAAATGAAGATTGCTGCGTCCACTGTATCCTGGCGTGCTTGTTCTGTGAATTCCTGACCCTCTGCAACATTGTGCTGGGACAAGCCGCGTGTGGCATCTGCTCGTCAGAGGCCTGCTGCTGTTGCTGTGGTGACGACGTGGGGGATGACTGTAACTGCCCTTGTGACATGGACTGTGGTATCATGGATGCCTGTTGTGAATCATCGGACTGTTTGGAAATCTGTATGGAATGCTGTGGAATTTGTTTTCCCTCATAGATATTTATCATTTACTTTGTGTTAAAACTGGAGAGTGTTTTCCTTCTTTTTTTTTCCTTTTCCAAGGAAAAAAGAAAAAGTACATACATGGTAAGATTCTCATGAGACAACCCAGTATTTGCACTGTTTACTCACCAGTTTAAGCAATCTCTGAAATCTTTATTCTCTAACCAGATTTGTGTGGTTTAATATGTGAAAATGTAACTGCTTTTCAGCTACAGTGACTGAGGAACATTTGGATAAAAAAAAAGCTCAGTGTCTTCTTTTTTGTTGGTCTTTCTGTTTTTTTCTATCTTTCGGAGCCCTTCGCTCCAAATTCATTTCTTTTCAGTTGATATTTAAACTAGACAGTTTCTTTTTGACACTTAAATGTTAATAGTAGCTAAAAGTTAGCGTTTTTTGCTTCCGAGTAAACTTTGGGAAGAAGCCCACACACTAGTTCGGAAGCCAGTATTGATCTGTCTCCATGTGCTCGCACACTTCCCCTCCCCCTGCACTTGTTCACAAAGTGCCCATGTGTGTAACGGGGTGGAATCATGGAGATGGAGTATTAGGCGCCCAGAAAGGTGCCATTCCAAAGAATACTGGAACTCACCCCATTGCTGCTGAATCAGTCCTGACTAATGGCAAACCCTTGTGTTAAAGAGACGAGTAAGTAAGTGCCTAAATGATTTAGTGACTGTACTCTTTACAGAAGCAGAACATCAGAACTTTATTCCACGCTAGCCCTGAGTGAGTTTGAACCATCAACCTTTGGGTATTTGCACCACTCAGGGACCTATAATCTGTTTCTGTAGAATTGATTCCAACTCATGACGCACTCCGTCTGGTTAGAGCAGCTCTGTGCGCCGTCGAACACACAGGCCGTGCCTCCCTGCTGCCACCAGTGACTCTGCAGGAGAGAGGTGAGAAGTCTCCTGTCCTTCTGTGTCAGAGTTTCCAGGTGACTGGAGAGCCTGTCTTCAGATGCATCTCTCTGGCCTTAAACCTCCAACTAGCCAATTAGTAGTCACACATTTTAGCCATTTGTACATCACAGCAAAAGAATGGACTGCACAGCAAAAGAATGAAAATCAGCTAGAACTAGCTCACAGGGCTTTATAAGAGAGAGACACTCAAAGGGCAAAAGCATAAAGAGCAGCTTAATTCCACCCCAAAGATTCAGGAAACCTTCAGGAACGGTGTATTTAGGACAGCTAGTACAGCACTGTGTTGTGAACCCAAAGGTGGCCAGCTTGATGCACCATGGGAGAAAAATGTCTCCTCCCAGGCAATGTACCACTTCCAAAAATCCACTGGAGGGTCAGCTATGCGTTGGTTCTTACCCAACAGCATTTAACAACAGTAGAATTGTTAGGGTGTAATAATGTTCAATTAAAGTGCCCAATTGCTTACTATAAGGTTGGTGGTTCAAACTTATCAGCCACTCCATGGGACAAAGCTGTAGCAGCCTGCTTCTGTAAAGATTAACCGCCTTAAAACCTCCAAGACAGTTCTGCTCTGCCCTCTCGGGCTGCTGTGAGTCAGAATTAACTCCATCATTTACTTAATACAATAAACTATAATACGAGCTGTTGATTATGAAGATAACGAAAAAGCTTTAGACACCGGTATTTTTAAAAAAAATGCCTTAAATATACTTTTGTCGTTAAAAGAATACAATGCCCCCATTAACTATATAATTTAACTAGAAAAACATTTTTTCTTACACAGATTTGAAGGGTTATGATAAAGTTTTTGATGGAAATAGGATACTTTATAAAACAACTACAAAAATATCTGTTTCATAAAGAATGTGCAGTACTTGTCATAAATTTCACTTGTTATAAGTGTTATTTTAATTTTAAAACTCCAATGTTCTGATGTTAATTTTTTCAAAGATTTAATATTAAGAGAGTTTTTGTCTCTCTTTCCCCATACTCTTTTTTTTGGGGTTGTCTTATTTGTTTTTATCTAATGTTATGTGAACACAGTTCAGTTTAAATGTAAACAATTCCTTAATGCACTAGAAGTCCAGCCATCCACTACTATGGTCATAATTTAGGATTGCAAGGCTTTGTTAAATTAAACCACTTAATCTTTTTTTTTTTTGCAGTTTAGCCACTAAAATTGCAACTTATAAAAAAATTAAGTGTGAAGAAATAAATCAGTTACATGAACTAATTCTATAGTTCTGGAAGTCTAGAGTCTCTGTGTGGTCCAGATGAAAGGGAGAATGGATATTCGCGTCTTGTGTCCCCCTACTGAGTTTGATCACTGCAAAGTTGTAATTTGATTTAATTGTATTTCCTTGTAGAAATTTTGAGAATACACTCTTAGGTTAATAATTATTTATGTTCAGTTTTTCCAGTGGAAATCAATTTGACAGTGAAAAAAGAAAAAACATACCTTTATGAAATCTTTAGAAAACCTAGTATTTTACAGGAAAGCATGAGAATGCCACATACAGTTTTTTCTTTGAGATGAAATCTAGTTTCTTTCTACATCATTATTTAAGAAGCTTTAAAAAAAAATGAAAAAAGTTGACTAAACTGTTTATCTTTTTAGTGTTATTTACACATAAGGAAAAACCCAACCCTTTACATTGTTTAGTTTAAATAAAATTTATTAAACTGTCTTTTTCTTTCTCAAGTTTCTTTCATTTGTTACATCAAATATAAGGAAAGCTTTATACTATTTTATTGTAATCAAAATCTGAGTATTTACATATACCCAAATCTAACTAATGCTTATGTATTAGGATGTAAGATTACCATTTGTCTTTAGGCCTGTAAATCCTTCTAAAGACCTGGAATTGCTAGATGATTACATTTTCTAGCTTGCAAAAATTTTCAGGCAAGTGGTTTGTCTGATGTTTAAATATAGCCTATTACTATTTGTCTTAAACATATTAGCACTTTTTAAATAATGCTTCTCTGTAATAGAGAACATTAGCGGCTAGTGGAATTTTATTTTCTTATTTATTTCGCAGTACTTTTCTTCTATTGCCAACTCTAGTCAATCATTCTGTAAAGCACCTTGTCAGAAAAGAAAAGGAAAAAAATTAAAAGTAGGCAAATGTGAAAATAGTTTCAATGTATTTTAGAATTTTTGTTTGTAAACTGTTTTGTTGAATTATATGACCATCCTGACTAAATGCTGTAGTTTACAGTTATAGATTTGACCTCTTTTTAAATGTGGAAACTTAAACATTTTTAAACTAGGTCTGTATTATTCTGAATACATTATTTTTAAATAAAAAAGAAAAAAAGGCTTCAGTATTGTGCTTTAGTGTACTTTCATATCTAATTGGAAATATAAACTATATTTAATGAAATGAACTGCTACACAAAACCAGACCTTTTTCTTTGTTACATTTCCTTTTGAAGATTTCATAGTTCCCTCATATAAATCACATGACTCATGATCATAGATGAACTATGAAAGGTAGAGATCAATTTATACTACAGATCACAGTTGATACATAATCTCGAAACAGTACTTTTTAAAACATTGACAATGGGTGAAAATACAATGTGTACAATTTTTAGTACTAATATTTTATCATTTTCTTTGAAATTTTCTTATATAAACTGAGATTAAACAAGACGTTAAAGATATTCCGATATCTCTGAGGTTGTATAGGAGATTTAATGACTTTCAAAGAAAACTAAATCACTAGAAATACTTCCATCTAGGGTCACAATTAAATAGTATGAAATGTTTTAGAGTTAGTGTCTAACTAAAACCATATCATTATTTTATTTTCTATTCTGTAAAATAATATTTTTTAGCTTATATATGTAATAATGTATTGGCTCTTTATTTTCTTCACCTGATGTTGTGTTATATCTGAGTTCTTCAAGCAGTAACCAAGTCAACGTTATGGAATAACTCTCTATTCTTTATCCATACAAATTTATCAGTGTACTAGATTCCAGTGTTAAAAACATCAGATATAGCCAACATAAGATTTGCACTGCCTAACATCAATAAGATTTGAGTCAAGAGACTCAGTGGCTTGCTTTCTTGAAGGCTAGCTTAGATTTATCCAACTGCCTAAAGTTTATTAATAAGATTATTTTTCAAATTATTCAAGACCTTTATACCCCTTTCAATTACTTGTGATTTGCCAGCTGTTGGAGTGTTACATAGACAGGCTGAATTAAATGTCATTGAGTTATATAATACTCATTTTCCCTTTTTTGCATACTAATATAGTTGGAAGGGAGCTCTGATGGCTTAGTGGTTAAGGAGTTGCACGGCCAACGCAAAAGCACCTGGTTTGAAAACACCAACTGTTACATGGGCAACGATGGGTGATTTCCTCCCATATGATTTACTGCCTCTGAAAACCTGCTAGAGGGTCAGCTGTGGGTTGGTTCTGACTTGACATACACAACAACAATTGTGCTTTAAAAAGTACTTAATATAAGGGAGCTCTGGTGGCCTAGTGGCAAGAAGCTGCACTGCAATCCCAGAGGTGGTTCAAATCCACCAGATGGCTCTGCTGGAGAAGGAGGGGCAATCTCCTCCTGTACCAGTCAGATCTAATTTGATGGTACACACAAAAAAATAATAAAATAAAAGTAGTTAATATATTGATAGGGTTTGTTTCACAGTTGCTATTTCTCTTTTAGCCAAAGATTGTATATTTCAGGCATGTCTTTTTAACCCTTCTTTTCCATGCGCCCTCCTATCCACTTAGACTTCACTGTCTTCTCTGTGCATGGATGTATGTTAGGCTTCACAAGGCAATTTAGTCTTCTGGAAAATTCCAGAAGCATTAATCCCAGGGGGGAAAGTTTGGCAGCCTCACACAGTGAGCTTTTAACAGTGAAACTGCCAATATATACTAGCCTACTTAAGGCTACTTTTAGGGGTTTTGGTTACCTTGTTGTTGTTGTGTACCGTCAAGTTGTAACTGGCCCATACCTGACCCTCTGGCGGGTTTCAGAGGCAGTTAATTCCATTGGTGGAGATTGCACATCCTTCTTCCACTGAGCAGCTGATGGATTCGAACCGTGTCCCTTCAGGACCAGAGCTCA